AGGGTTTAGGGCTTAGGGATGTTCAGGGTTTAGGGTTTAGGGATGTTTAGGGCTTAGGGTTTAGGGATGTTCAGGGTTTCGGGTTTAGGGATGTTTAGGGTTTAGGGATGTTCAGGGTTTAGGGTTTTAGGATGTTTCGGGTTTGGGGATGATCCGGACCACTGGCGAAAGTTCAGCACGGTGGTGGTCACGCACTGGGGGCATGGCCTGCCTTAAACTACCAGAACCTACTTTTTTGTAGGTTCTTATTATAAGCCTTAATATAGGATTTATAGGGACCCTACCAAAAAGTAGGTTTTGGTAGCTTAAGGTGCAGTATGTGAAGGCCGGGCGACAGCACCCGGCATGGGTTTAAGGGTTTGGGGTTTAGGGGTTTGGGGTTTAGGGGTTTAGGGTTTAGGGTTTAGGGTGTGGGGTTTAGGGTTTAGGGTTTAGGGTTTGCGGTTTGGGGTTAAGGTTGGGGTTTGGGGTTTACGGTTTGCGGTTTGGGGTTTAGGGCTTGGGGTTTGGGGTTTAGGGTTTAGGGTCCGGATCAGAGTCCTGCCGAAAGATCTCAAAAGTGAGCCTGCAGCTCGTTCGACAAAGGGTTGCTTTGAGCTCCCCTCATGGGACAAACAAGGAAGGGGAGCAGGGCTGCTTTGAGATGGATTTCATCAGTCGTGGTTGAGTGTTTAGGGTTTAGGGTTTAGGGTTTAGGGTTTAGGGTTTAGGGTTTAGGGTTTAGGGTTTAGGGTTTAGGGTTTAGGGGTTGGGGTGGTGAGGCACTGACACCACATTGCAGCCCTTGTTTTTGGGCAACCTGGGTCTTAGATTGTAGGATGCCAAACCTCAAAGCTGGTGAGCAGAGAAGAGGGTTGAGGGTTTAGGGTTTAGGGTTTAGGGTTTAGGGTTTAGGGTTTAGGGTTTAGGGTTTAGGAACATCAACCGATACTATAGGTAAGCCCTGATCCAAGTTCAGCCAAGAGATGAGCTTCGCAAGAGGTTGTTGTTGGTTAAGGTTTTATCCCCCCCTAAACCCTAAACCCTAAATCCTAAACCCTAAACCCTAAACCCTTAAGAGCCCTGAACTCAAGATCTGGACCGCGACGTGGACATGTGGCTCACGGGCACTCGCCATCCTTTCCTGGCCAAGC